CTAAAAAAGTAAGTCATAGATCAATTAAACTAGTTTCTTCCATAGCTCTGCGTCCAGTAGTAGAATCAATACAATACAATAGGACACAATATAACAATACATTATATCTACTCTCATATTTATTCATGCGAGACTGGTTCGTGACTGATCTGGTGTGTGTTGCACGTGAATATAAGGAACATGAGCGTTTATGTATATGGGTGTGTCTTTGCGTGTGTGGGTCTGGGTGTGAGTGTGTATGTGGGTGTGGGAGTGTCTGAGTATGAGTGAGTATATTTAAGTGTATTTTAATAATTGAAATCGGAATTCAAAAACAAGTTTGTGAAGTATAAAGCATTTATTGTACACATTTAAAATCACAAATCAATCTTAAAACTAATCAGTATTTTCTCGCACTCCAAGGAGCGCATCACTTGCAGCAGTTTAACGTCCGTAGATCTGGATTCTGTAGTTGAAGCCGCGGCCTCTAGCGGACGTAATTCTGATTGTCACAAAGTTACGGTTCAGACCTCCAGACACAATGGACGGGGTCGCGTTCTGTGAGGCTCCCACTCGTGTCACTCGGATCGCGGCTATTCTGATACTGGAGGCAAAATTGAAAGTAGCGTTGTGGACGAGAATTGTGTTTGCGATGGCGCCTCTGATGTGTTGAGTACTGCAAAGTAAAATAAAAACATTGCGTAAAGATTTGAGAGCAAGCAAATAATTAGTTGTTGGATCTAGTTGATGGAGATGCTTATAAGGCCTTATCGTCGTGAGCTGTGAACATCCCCATGTTTGATGTGACATTGGCAATGTCCAGCTCAGTGCTACTTACTTGGCGAGCAGCCTGCTGTTGCCGATAGTTCCCACGCTGAGGTTGCGACGACTCTCGATCTCTACGCTTTTGCTACCAGCCTCTATTTCAGCTACTTCAGCATCATCGCTGTACATAATGCTCTCATACGTGATGACTGCCTCAGGTGCTTCAGCTATGTCCTGGCTGACGATGGCGGCTGAGGCTGCTGCTGCCAACAGAACTACGACGAGCAGGGACTTCATCTGAAACACAACAATATATGAGCATGAAGCTGATGATATGCTTACCAGCAATATCCCTCACTCTCGGCGACTTATTGAGGGCAGACGGCATTGATTCCATGTAAAATATTAGCACTTACGATTACTTCTATATTTTGCCAACCATCAAACCAGAATTATCTTGTTGACCCTAAATTGATAGGAAAAGTCACAAAATATTGCGAAAAGTAAAATTTTAGATTTACTTAAATGTCACTCACCTTTTAATATTTCTCAGTAATGTTTCTCAAACAAGAAATGTAGATCCTTTCAGGATAGTGAGTTCGTTGTGACTGTAATAGTCTGCTGAATGAAGCACTATTTATAGTGGGCAATTCAGTGATAACTGTTTGATTCATTTTGATTATCAAGCATGTCAATTGGTATCTATAGTATACAAATTACATCAATAATATGATTTAGCAAAATGATAAACAAATAATGTAATTGGGTTATACATAAATATTATTGTCTTAACCTTCACCTGGTTGACGGGGAAAAAATGCCTGACTCGTTTCTCCAACTGCACGCAGTAGTCTGACTATTTGTTGTCGACTAACTTACACACACACATGGGAGAGTTATGTTCCAGCATTCAGGTTTTGCTTGGTTATTGCAGCCAAACCAGCCTAGTTACGTACTAGCAGCCAGCCATTGGACAATGATCAAACACAGTCAGTAGATACGTAAACTCCAAGAATTATGTATTGATTCCAATGTAATCTTGATATCTTATGACATCAAACATTTCTCTGTAGATTCGAAAGATTTAAACAAAGATATTGACTTGTATAAAAGCATTATTTCAAATTGAATATGCACATGTGTGGGTAAGTTGATGGTATGTTCGAGATAGTCGTCTTTAGACTTTTTTAAATTCTGACGCTTTATTAATGTTACTTTATTCTCACATATATATACAATAATATACAATAGATTAGGATAATATAATGTACTTTTGAGATTGTAAAAAAACTACACTTCAGAACGAGCACTTAGCTTCACTAACAATTCAATTTTATGTTTTTTTTCTGCCTAATCAAGGATTAACTGAAATAAATGCCTTCACTTTGACTCAAGCATCCATAAGCACTTTCACCTGTCTTCGTTTTCGGAAGCGATACCTTCAACCTGTTATAATTTACTAGCTTTCTGTCAGCGACTTCGTAAGCACAAATAGGTGGATCCCGTTTTACCGTACCTGTGGGATTTAATGAAATCCTATCCTAGTGCTCCGCTACACTTCCCAAGGTATATACATGCTAAGTTTCAGCTTCCTAGATCTAGCAGTTTCGGCTTTGTGTTGTCTGTGAGTCAGTCAGTCACTCAGAAAACGAAGCATTGTAAATATATTTGTAGCTTCATTATTCATAATAATATATAGTTTTCCCACAATTAGTCCTTTTCAGTAGGTATTGCGAAATTTATCTGTCTACTAATAGATTTCATACATTCTAGATTTATGTAACTACGAACTACAGACTACGGCGTAGCACTTGTTCTACGGCGTAGTAGAATATGTGTATACGTCTTTGAAATTATTAGTAGATAGCAAAGGAGATAGAGAATGTAAAAAATAACACAGAGAATGTACAAAATTTTATTCATTAATCATCTAAATTGACTTAACTTGTTTTTACAAGAAATTATAAGCCAAGGTTACATTTTCATTTAATTGATGTTATCACTTTTACCGCCTCTGCTGTTCATAATAATTCCAATGTACGATAAAGATTCTTACTCGTCATACTACTTGATTACAAGGTCAGCTACGATCATTATCTATTTGGTTCATAGTCTTTGTATCCATAAGTTCACGCGTGTTATTCCCCGTAGACGTATACAAGGATACAATTGTAGAGTAACAATAATTTTAAGGAACAGCCATCATTATTAGTCGTGGTGGCCTGGAGGTTGCAGATAACGGGTTCGGAACCTACCAACGATAAGACCCCGGGAATCGAACCTGAGACCCCTTGCCCGGCAGTCGCACTTGCGACCACTCGACCACAGAGGCAGTCGAGAATTTATTTCAATTAAACTATAAACTGGTTCTTTTTAAACATCAACAAATATATATAACTGTCTGCCAGTCTGTCCGTCAATGAAGCTAGGTGCTCATTTCAAGTAAATTTAAATGGGGAAGAACGAGCAAGAAACTCCAACAAATGCAACCCCTTCAGCTTCGACAAATACAACCACTTCAGCTTGCTAATCATTCACTTAACAGGGTGTGATGTTCCCTACAATCGAGAAATGGATGGAGGAAAGGCTGATGGGCTACCTCCGTTATGCACTCGTCTACAGATCGAAATACACAAAATCAGTTCATCATAGTTTCTCTTTATATGATAGTTATTCTAGTTATTCCCGTGGGTTAAAGCCTATATGTTATTGCAGACTTGTTCTAAATTTTATCCCAATCTCCCCATCCGTTTTAGCGAATGACAAACATGCACACCACAGTGGAGAATTTTTTACACACCAAATGCTAAGTTCAAAGAAGACAAATACATTTGTGAAAACCACATTGTTGTGTTTGACAAGGTAACAGGTTAAGTGGACCGAAGAGTATCAATCGTTCCTGACCGATTTGACTAAGAAACCCCATATCCCAAACTTAACTATCCTCCGAATATCGGCTTTTGAATTTATTTTATGGAAATTTCCCCTTTTTTGTTTTGTCTCTCAATCTTGTTCTGTTTTGTGTAGTCAAGTCCAAGTCTCAACTATTGGCTGGCTACGGTGGTCCACCTTTTCCGTTCCACTTATTGGTATGTTTAGTGTCCACTCACTCTCTGACACTCCTTCTGAATCGCGCGGACAATGAATGAGATTTAATTGTATATCGTCCAGTAAATCAGATAGTTTTTTCTGGAATCATAACTATGTTTACCTTATATCTATACACTAGCATATTATATCCTATTAGAAATCTGAGACATCGTAGATATTTTATTAAACATCATCTCCAGCACAACCGGCACAGACTTTTTTTAAAATGTCTAAATAAGAGGAACTTATCAAATTTATGTGTTGTATAGATACTGCCCACTTTTATTATTTTTATCGTCATTTAAGGTATTTAAGGTATTTCTAACTGCCTCAGTGGCCGAGTGGGCGCAAGTGCGACTGTCGGATAAGGAGCCTCGGGTCGGGCAAAGTATTAATGGGTTTTAAAAAAATCTTAGTAGTAGCACGGAGTCTGAAATTGTGCCCGGTATCAATAGGCTCACCCCTACATGGACCTCATAACATAAATAGTTAAAAATGGGTGTTACATTGTACATTGTACAATGGCCTTAAGTGCCGTAATATGCACCTCTACCTACCCCTTCGGGGATAAAAGGCGTGATGTTATGTTATGTTATATAAAGTGTTTCTATGTATTTATTTTATTTGATAAAACAGGAATAAATAAGTTGTTTCTAAACATTTCATACTTACTTTAAAACGAAGTATCTAAGAAGTATATTTAAGAAGGAAGATCTATGAATTTTGTTTTATTAAAATAGTGACAAAACAAGGATATCTTAGAGAATAATACAAGAAATAGATTTCATAACATATTTATTTATTTACATGAGCACAATTCATAACAGCTTACTATCTATCCTTAATTATTATATCAAACATACTTAAAACATACATTCAATTAATTAGTTTCTTCCGTACACTTGCGTCCAGTAGTGAAATCAATACAATATAACACGATACAATATAACAAAATTTTATTTCTTCTCTCACATAGAAATACGCAGAATTCATAATTGTTTAATTATGCGAGATTGGTTTTTGAATGGTCTAGTGTGTGAGTTTCACGTGAATGTAAGGAAAATAAGCGTGTATGTGTGTGTGTATATATGCATGTGTGTGTATGTATGTGTTTGTGTATGCGTGTGTATGTATGTGTGTGTGTGTGAGTGTGTGAATACGTGTGTGTGTGTGTGTGTGTGTGTGTGAATACGTGTGTGTATGTGTATGAGTGAGTGTATTTGCGTGTGTATGTTTTCTATTAATTGATAGTAATCACAAAATATTTTACCACCAGATAAATTTGTTAAAAATATAATTCGCAATCTCTAGCTTACTGCAGTCTTATGGTTATACTGCATCGCCTAGCCACTTCATACCTAAATTTGGCTCCTCGCCATCACCAACCAGGATTTCAGACGGATCATCATCAACCTGAACTTCAGACGGATCTATTAACATTGAATCGAACAATAAAGTACCATATTCATCACCATCTTCATCATTTTCTGTCAGAATCTTCACTGGGTATGCCGGATCCAAGCCTAATAGTTTCTGAATTTCTTCTAATTCGACGAATTCAATATTATCTATTTCTTCTGCAGCTGGCACATCATTGACGACTTCTGAGGCTGATGCTGCAGCTAGGAGCGCGATAAGGAGTAGTGTCTTCATCTGGAACAGATTTTTAGATATCAATACATAGTATAAAACAAAGTCGCTTTCGCTGTATGTCCGTATGTATGCTTAGATCTTTAAAACTACGCAACGGATTTTGATGCGGTTTTTTTAATAGATAGAGTGATTGTTAAGGAAGGTTTACATGTATAATACATGCATATTGCACCCGTGCGAAGCCGGGGCGGGTTGCTAGTCTATATATATAAAAGAAAGACGGGTTTGTAGATGTAGGATGTGAATGTTCTAACATGACAATAAAAAAAATAAATTGTCAATCATCCATTGGCATAAAACTTACTTGTCAAAATATCAGATAACATAGAACTGTGTACTAAATATTATAAATTTGTGCGTCTGTTTGTTTTGTTAGCAATTGACGTGCTTTTTTATTGAGTGGAGATAGAACTATATGCGGACGAAGTCGCTGGGAACAGCTAGTTAAACTGTCAAACACCAAGCGGTCACCGGTGACCGCAACCTATTGTTCTATAATTGTGTCTATAATGACGGTACTCGACGAGCTAAATATATTTTGTGGTTGTTTTAACTCTATCGGAGTGATATTATCAGAAATTAGTAATAAGTTGGAGTCTAGAATGGGGTCCATTGTGCTTGTTATTTGTTATTAAGCCACCTATAAAGATGGAACATGTAATATGAAAGATGAAAAAGTGTGTTACATTGTAGAGGTATATATTCACCTCTGATCGAAGAGTAAACAAAAAATAGAAATTAAAAACAAACACAACAAAACTTACTTTCATTTGAATACTGGAACTTCCTTCTTTAAAATCTGTGTGGTAATGAGTGACATACCGTAGGAGTGTCTTTTTATAGCAACTTCATAAATCGGATATCAAAGATAAGATAATGATCGACCCAGAATTGCTTATGACTTAATTAGAATGTATTCTAAATTATCAGATTAGTAATGGACAAGATACCATACATAACATTACGCCTTTTTATCCCCGAAGGGGTAGGCAGAGGTGCACATTTTGGCACTTAATGCGAGTGTACAATGTAACACCCACTTTTCACTATTTATGTTATGAGTCCCATGTAATAGGGGGTGAGCCTATTGCCATATAGCTGGTTTACTACTATTGTTTTTTCAGACTTCATTTTTCTGGTGTTAAGTAGATATTTTTGGTTACAAAACTAAAGGTATCAAAGCATTTTATGGTGGTCATTATATTAATCCCCATTATTAATCTATTTTAAGTTTTAAGGACTACATACCTAATGTTGAAAGGTCGGTGCCCTTTGACACTTATGTGTAACCGCCGACAGAAAAACAACTATCGGTTATTTTCTGCCTCAAGAAATGTGTAATAGATATACATTCCATGTAAACAAAAGAATTACAGATACGAATAGTTGATCGCTGACTGTTCACACTGCCGGCGACCACTCGCAAAAGCAACTATTGGAACTATACAAACTCGGTGTCCGCGGGTCACCAACTCGTTTCCAATTCTAACTTTTTATCCTTTAACTCGTCGAGTACCGGTTTTGTAGACACAATTATAGAACAATAGGTTGCGGTCACCGGTGACCGCTTGGTGTTTGACAGTTTAATCGAGCTTTTGACCAGTTATTTAAAGTCCAAAAAACGATTTTAACGGTGATGACGAACACAACAAGTTCAAATAATCCAGTAAATTTTTAACCAACCCGAACCTAAAACAAAACTATAGGTAATAAATGAGACATATACGTACCGTAAGAGTTAACAGAATAAGATTTGAATAGACAGTCGAAATTGTAAAACAATTACTCCTTATCAGTACAATTACCTACCAATACATAATCGCTAAACACTCTGATAACAATTAAGTAGTATATTACTGAAAACAAACGTAGATAAAAAAGACCAATTCATTCTCCCAAACAACAGGGTAGATGACTAATTTTTATTTTAATGTCGATAAATAAAATCGAAGATATATTGATTTGAAATATAGCATGACGTCACTTTTAAGTACGATTTATACTCCAAAATGACATAGCTACTTCCCACTCCTATACTTCGATTCGTTTTATCTCAGTATTTTTTTCTTATACAACAAAATATAAAATACGTGTCTAATATATTTTCATTACCTAACTGACGGACTAATTAGATTTACCTATAATTTTTATACCCTGTCATCATCCCTGTTGCACTATTTTTATCTATTAAAGACACTAATATCATATACATGTACCTAAGACCTGTACATTATTTTTTTATGTATTTCTTTCGGTCATAGATCTTAAATATGCTTGCTTCTTGCATCGACCCTTGTTTTTGTCTCTGCATCACATCATCCAAAGGTCTGGCTGAAGGAGGATGCCCATGGCATTAAAAGCACTTTGTACGTGCATGAAGCCTTTTAAAATAATATAAAACTCTAATAAAAATTATCACAATCAACGTTATTATTTATTTTCCATGTTTCATACATATTTAACTCGTTGAGTACCGTCATTATAGACACAATTATAGAACAATAGGTTGCGGTCACCGGTGACCGCTTGGTGTTTGACAGTTTAAACTGTCAAACACCGCGAGGACTAGTTAATTATTAAAAAGATATATATTATATAAAATGCCGTAGCCAACCAATAATGGTAAATACGCGCTGTATCCCTCTGGCACTGCTTTCTACATCAGGCCCTTGACCCAACCATCTAACGCTAGCCTACTTAGGTGTTGGTTGAGACTTGTAGCAATGAGGTCACTCGCAGATATGACTATCGGCGGCACAATGATTGCTGAATCCACATCCCATATATAGACAATCTCATAAGCCATTACATTTCTTTTACGTTACCGTACACTAGAATTGTCTCCTGTGTCGTAGGTGCGTTTACAAACATACAAGTTCACATACACATGCCATCCAGACACGAAACAACATTTGTAGATCAGACAAAGAGTTGTTCCGTGCGGGAATCAAACACGCGACACATTGCGCGGCATCCGGTTGCTCAGATACCGCGCCAACCATGCAGTCAAAATCTATATATTTACTTGCTTTATCTTTTTATCAACTTATTATTAGATTTATTGTTTTGATTGAAATACTATAATAGTCATTATCAAGTAAATATTTTGATAAAACATTAAAATATCATTCTAGCAGTAGTTCCCCGAATTTGGTTCAGTTAAATTTACAGCAAGGTTTCTATTATACTAATTGTAATCCGACCTTAATTAATGCTACTGCATTTTAAGCTGTATAGTGTTTGGTGCAAATTAAATATGTTTCTCGCCACCCTTATCCTTCCCCTGGCTATCACAAGACTAAGGAGCTGCATATTTAACGGAGACAGAACAGCAATGCTCTTTGATAAACCTTTTACATTGCGTTGTATATCACCACCAAGCGATCCACGCTTGACAAACTGACTGAAGTTATGAAATAACATATTACATAATTACTATTACAATGTATATAATTTTTTCTGTGTGTGCAATAAAGTTTAAATAAATAAATATTATATTCCCTACGTATATAGCCTTTTAGCAAACCCCCTGAAATTTTGAACTAATATGTTCCCTGCGTAAGTAGATAGCATTTCATTTTCTCCTGGCTCGAATTTCTGATCGACACTGCCTTGATTAGATTCAGCTGAACAATGACTCCGTTAGTAAGAGTACCTAAAACCCTAAGATTTTGGTCAATTGCAACAATCATCTGGCAAAAAAAAAACGATTAGCGTCTTTAAAATTTTTGTCAATGTCAAAAACCACATATCGAAAAAACAATGAGCTAAACCAAAATAAAAACAAATCGATAAAAATTTAATCTTTTCAAATCTTCTGATAATAAATAATAGAACGATTGATGATATCTTCACTACTAATTGCATTTGTAAGATAATAATATTAAGTGAAAGAAAGAAAGAAAGAAAGAAAATACATTTATTTGGCCATTGGCACACGAAGACAAGGATCATTACAATACAAATAAAACATACAGTGAAAATAAAAACAAAACATTAATAATAATAGATTTTATGAAAGAGAAAAGAAATGAACAAAAATCATTAAAACATAACAAAATATAATTAGAATAATAACCGAAACTATAAAAAAAAACTAAAAACAAAAAAAGTATAATTATATATATAAAACAAGGAAAGAAATATAAAAATAATAAAGTGCGCGTGCCCAGGCCAAAAGGGCGACCACCTCAGCATATAGTTGAGCGTTCCTGCCCAACGCTGGTTTTCAGGTGGCACCCTGCAGTGACTCACGGACGGCGGTACCGCCCCTCAATAAGGAAAAGAAAATAAATAATAAAAGATAATAAAATTACACAAACAAAACAAAATTCTGCAGAATATGTGTGTACATGTGCGTGAAAAATTGCGATCAGAATAATATATAGATATATGCGAATACAACAAAATATAAAAATGCAATTATAAGAGGTAAGTAGTCAACTTCCATTTTAATTTTTATTTTAATAACGGGCGGTTGTCACATATTTTTGGCTGCCAAATCAGACAGGTACTATTTTAGTGATAGCCTTGCTGAGCTCTAGTTCACTTTGACGCGTACCCACAGAGATACGGTTGGCTTCCACTGGCCACCGGACACAAAACCACGGCAGCACTGTTTACGAGTGGTCATAATTAAGAAAGAAACACGGTGAGCATGAGTACCCACACGAAACGCACAGACTTCCAAGTTGGCAAACAAAAGTAAGTATAATTGCATTGTATTCGAATAATAAACTCAAATTAGATAAAAGATTTGTCAATATTTATGTTGTTAAATTTAATTTGTGATGTCAAAATAAAAGTTTTTAATTTTAACCTGAACGTGTTTTTATTTTTCAGATGTCTAATTGGTGGTGGAATATTATTCCAACATTTGGAAGCCGCATAACGGAAGCTGCCGCGAAAAGCTGCAGTTTTATGCTGGGGAATGGCGAGCTGCTGAGCACACCGCCTACCCTCACGCTCCCGGTGACTATTAACCCATGCAAACCTAGAGTACAGGTATGGGGGATACTTGTGTTTTATCACGTCGAACATAAGACAGGCGAGGTGGAGTTTACGGCGCGACTTCATTTTTAAAACATTATGTTTGTTTAAAAATGGCGTAATATGACTTCTTGGTGGAACATTGTAGCAAAATCGCGCGCAGGCATTCTGTACTCTCTGTATTAATCTCCCGGTGCGTGCCAAGAGCCTGGGGCCCATAACGGTATCTGCGTAGTTTAATTTTGATAGAACTAAACTCTCCACCAACCGCACCCGCAGTTCCTCGCACAAGTAGGGTCGTATTTTATATAAGATTTTCAAACGATAGAAACAACTTCTTACACAGTCTGAAATAAAACGTTCAAACCTTAGACCTTCATCCATTACAAGGCCCAGGTTTCTCGCCTCACTTACTCGTTCTACATTTTGACCCTTTACATTAATGCTTACGGAAGTGCTCGGTGGAATTTTGTGTAATAAGCCTAGGGTGCCAAAGATCATAAATTTGGTTTTAGCTGGATTTAGTATTAAGGAGTTTCTTTCTGACCATTCGAATATACCCTCCAGATCCTTGTTTATTTTTCTGGTTGCAGACTCATAGTCTTGAGGTCTAAAAGACAAGTATATTTGAAGGTCATCAGCGTAAATATGGTATTGACAGTGCTTAATTTCCTTTATTATGTCCGCGGTATATGTGATAAATAATGTGGGGCCTAGAATTGAGCCCTGTGGCACTCCTTTCATTAGGGGAGTTGTTTGTGACTTATGAATATTACCCTTTTGGTCTCGTAATTCGACGTATTGAGCACGGTTGCTGAGGTAGCTGTCGAACCATCTCAAAGTTGGCGTATCAAAGCCATAAAAAGCCAGCTTCGATAACAAGAGCGTTAAATTTATGGCATCGAAAGCCCTGGAATAGTCTAATAACACTAAGATGGTACAGAAGCCCCTGTCCTGTGCAGCCAGTATGTTGTCAGTGACATCAAGCAAAGCTGACGTCGTGCCACGACCCCTCCTAAAACCTGACTGTAATTCAGGAAGAATGGCATTTGCCTCCAGATATTTTGTAAGCTGTGTGTTTACCACCCTCTCCAGTACCTTAGATAATAGGGGCAAAAGGCTAATGGGTCTAAGATCTGTCACATCGGTAGGGGAACTTTTTTTTGGTATCGGGCGTACAGTTGCCAGCTTCCAATCGTCAGGAAAGGTTGAGGTGGTGATTGATGTATTTATAATATTTGTTAAGTATTTCAAGGTGTAGGGTAGTGTCATAATAAACATATTGAGTGTAATACAATCATGCCCCTCGGCATTCGATGTGAAACTTTTAATAATTTTAAGAACATCATTGTCATCAACTGTCTGTAGTGTAAAGGTACTGTCGGTGAATCGGTGAAACTCATAAAAACTCAAACTGCTAATAGTTAAGTTCATGGTTCCGGGTACATTTAAAAAGTGGGTATTTATTTTATCCGAATCATTAAAATGTGACGGTAGTTCGGTATTCCGATTTAGAGGCAACAAAGTTGTTTTTATATTATTCCAAAGGATTTTAGGATATTTAATTTTATTGTTTATATTCGTCTTGAAGTAAGCTACCTTCTCATAAAATAGTGATTTTCTTACTAAAGTTTTCAGATCTTTGTAATATATTCTTTTAGATTCCGACTTAGTTTTCATATAATTTACATAGGCTGTATTTCTCAAATTCATCATCAGTTTAATGTTATCAGTGATCCATGGGTACGTTTTTTCCCTAATAACATACGTTTTGAGAGGAGCATGTTTGTCGAAAAGTTTAATTATACCCTGATTTAACCTGTCCACCATGACGTTTATATTATTTGACTGACCAGTCATATGCCAGTCATTAGATTGCAGGTCGTCGTCAAACTTCTTAGGGCATATTTTTGTTAAGCTCCTCTTGGTTACAGTTAGTGGCAGTGGCTTGTTCTTTTTAAAGTTAAACATAACTACCAGATAAGCATGCGCCCCCAGCGCCTCGATTAGATCCACCACATGGTTAATAACGCTAGCGTCCGTGCAGACAAGGTCAATGAGGGTCTCAGTAGTGTTGGTAAAGTGTGTAGGCGATGTTATTATTTGTTTTAAATTAAAGCAATTTAAAAATGCGTTCAATTTGCAAACCTTTATCTCAGAGCGGTTCAAACAATTAATATTGAAGTCTCCAAGTAGAATAGTATTGTCACAAAATGAGAGTGAATCCATCGAAGCAGTGAGCCCATCAAAGAACAAATCGACATCAAACCAAGGTGGTCTGTATGCCGTGCCCACGGCAAGTCTCGTACCATTGATGTTTAACACCATCCACATTTGCTCAATCGAACCATGTGACGGGTCCACCGGGTGAGGGTGCTCACGCACATTAATTCCTCGCTTTATATAAAATCCAACGCCGCCGCCGCGGCCGCCGCGCACGCTCAGCGGGCGCGGCAGGTGACGCAGACGGTAGCCAGGCACGGTCGGTGCACGCCCCTCTTCCCCGTCCCTGAGCCAAGTCTCATTTATTGCCATAACATCAACGCCGTGTCTATCCATGGCAACAACAAACTCGTCGTGATGAGTACCCAGTGAGCCAGCATTTATAAAACCAACTTTAAAATGTTTTGAGGTCATGAGTAATGTAAAATGTGTATTAAGTACATATGACAACCAAAATCATGCAAAATAGAGAATATTATTAAATATGAAAAAAATGATACTTGAAATTTGTGTTTACTTATTATGATTATAAATTTGTAACAAAATATATGATTGTTATAGATAATTATTATAGTTATAGCATTGTAATAAAATATACTATTTATACATGTACATATACTATTATAAGAAGGGTAAACATTAAATAGATTGTAAATATACATAGGAGTAAGTAAGGAACATAAGTAACTGCAGGGAGCGCACCCCCATTCAGCCCCCATCATTAAGACATAACACAAACAGTTACAAATTCTATTTACATGGTGATAAAAGTATCGCAACTCAATTAGCACAAAAGGCACACACACTTTTCTTAAATAAGCGCATTTATGGCAGGTATGAAAGAACAAAATTGGATCAAAAATAGCCACACACAAAACACAAAATACCCTCACAAGGAAAAGATCATTTACAGACTGTCCAAACAAGTAACTCAAATGTAACAGACATGGGGAACCACTTAACGAACTCGACTGCTTCCAAAAATCTGCGCTAGGTCCGCATCATTGCGGATACGCTGAGCAGGGACTCCATCTTCCCTACGCGCATAGATACGCCCGTCCTTTGTCCAGACGTACCTATACCTAGCCCGCTGCCCAGCCTCACGAGCGCTATGGAACAGTTTACTGTTCATTTGTGTGAGACGCTCATTCACATAGATCCTACGCGGTGGGGCGCTTATGTTGAGGTCCGCCGTGGTGAGGCCGCGTCGCACGCGCGCCGCCCGCAGCAGTTGGTCGCGGACATCGCGGCGCGCCAGTCGCACCGCGATGACGCGCGCCCGCAGTTCTCCCGATGGCGAGTCAGCACCGTCGATTAAACCGCGCCTCACACCACCGATGCGCTCAATGTTTACGACATCCCGGTCTTCCACGGTGACACCCAGTTTCGTCGACAGGACCTTGATGGTGTGGAATTTGTTTTCATCCTTGGTCTCCGGTATGCCAGCAATTATTAGGTCGTTCTGGAGGAGCTCCTGATCCCGGTCGTTTAGTTGTGTCTTTAGTGCAGCGATAGTGGCTTCTATGGCGTCATAGCTAGCGGGACTTTGCTCCTCAAAGCGCCTCTCAACGTCGGACACTTTGTTTTCGATTTTAGTCATTCGATCGTTACAGTCACTTACCGACATGCGCAGACTTAGGAGCTCGCTCTGAAACTGACGAAACTCGTCCCTCATTGCACCCAATTCCTGCCTCAAGCACCTGATTTCATACGCCACATTTAGGTCGGTGGCACTCAGAGTAGGATCCGTGATGGTCATTTGGTCTTGGGTATCCGTGCAGCACTCAGACATGGCGTTTTTAACTGGTGTGGCTGAGTTGTCTTGCCTGGGTGTCTTGGCCTTGCAGCCTGGACAGAGCCATGTCGGCGACACTTTAGTTGATGCCGGAAAGCCCACACAGCCGGGATGATAAGTGCCATTACAGATTTATTTACTTATAATAGACAAAAAATAATAATAATCTAATTGCGTCTCATTATTGTGAGAGGAAGTAAATTCGTAAGGAATAGTGGGTTGTAGGTATTATTACGTAAATCTATGTATTAAATGGTTAATGTATAAAATTAATATCTAATTGCGTCTAATTATTGTGAGGAGGTACATTCGTAAGGAATAGTGTGTTGTATTATTATGTAAATCTGTGTAAAGGTATGCTTATCTCATACACCATCAAAAAGTTAACTAGCCTTCTATTCATAAATCATAATGCAAAAAACAACAAAAATATTTTCAAACTACGTAAAACACATTTTTAATCTGTGGTGTAATGTCGCGGAGAACTTAATGGGTTACCGGGGCTCCGGCTCGACGTGCAGGAATAGGAATGGGGTGGTTTTAATCGGTAAGAGTCTGACACTCCCTCCCGCCTCACCCAGGCGGGAGCAGTCATTCGAAGATTTTTACCCTTAAAAAAAATCTGTGGTGTAATAAACCTACCGCCATCTTATCTACCACAGACTAAAAATATAACATCGTTATAATAACCCAAGCAGACCAAAGCACAAAACTTATTCAGCCAGTATTCATTTTAACAAAGAGTAAAATTCATATTTCAAAACGTTACATTCGAAATTCAGAATTTAATTCCAAATCCGGACAGACCGGGGCGACGCGAGCTGGCGTTCTAAGTTTAAAATTGCTTCCCATTCAAGCTCCCGCTGCTGAACAATGGCCACCGCTGCAAACGGAACTTACGCAAGCAAAACCTACATTTAAATTCAAATTCAGAATTTAGAGTTAGAGTTCCATTGTGACACTTTTTGTGGTATATTGAGGTTATTTCCAGAGGGTTTTAGTACTGATTTATACCGCTAGATATTCTTTAGCTGTTTTCATGAAAAAACAGGTTAATCTTGCCAGATTTTTACAATAAGCTCACTCCTATTGTTATGGGAGTAACAAGAAAATAAAGTCGATATTAACTCACATTAATCGACTAAAAGATGGTACACACGGCCACACATCAATCTATACAAAACCAGTTTATCCTGGTGTCGCGTCGCATCATCTTTCCGCACATTTAACTTTCAGTTTATACTGGTTATGTAAAGCTCGATGTGTCGCCGTGTGTACAAGTCCTAAGAGTTGCTTAACGTACGATAGCTCTTAAACTAAACCCTTTGTAAGTTAGTGAAAACCAAAATGTCGTTAAGTGCCACCAACCTCAGCCTTATACAGTGTGATATTATCCGAATACATTTTTAAATTAAGAAAACGTATTTTATTCAGATTCAATTTAGAAAAACGTCCTTCACTTTGTACTTTGCAAAAAAGCTCCCGCTCCTTTTTATCTGTGATTGTGTCAATCTCTCCAAATAGGTTTTACATATACATACATATTTGCAATTTACTTAAAACCTTTTTTCTCTTCTTTCGCAGGCGGTGTCGGATGAAATGCTGGTGGAACTGAAAGCGTGCTTCATGGAGGCCTATGATGATAATCAAGATGGAAAAATTGACATTCGAGAGGTGAAAATACTTTTAAATTTATTCTCTTGGTTTTGGGTACTGTCCCCTGTCCATGTGGCGACATTTCATTAATGCATGCATTCGTCAAAAACAGTAGGTGGCTTTCATGTTACCGTTTTGTGAACAGTTTGTATTATTTCTAAGCAAGATGCAAGCATTTGTCTTTTATTAGAGCATTGGCTCTCTTGTTATATGATACTTGTAACATAACTTACTTGTAACATATTCATTGAGGTTCAAGTCGATAGCAGTGGTCGCAACTGCCAATTAAGGTTTCTCGGAATTGATTCCCGGACAGGACATTAATCTAGGTTTTTGACAGAAACTCCAAACAAACACGGTACAATGCAGAAATCGATTTGAAATATTCACCCAAAGATTTTTGTTTAATAGATATTGTTAAACAAATCGATATTCAATCGATTCGAATCGGTATTCAAATCTCGATTTGAGAAATGCTTTTCCGGTTTTAGTGATAATTGTCGTAGTAGTAAAAAAACGAATAACTCCCCAAATTATAATTCTGTTAATGTTTTTCCTTTTTATATTGTTCCTCAATCCATTTTCTTTTTTGTTACAGCTGGCTCAATTACTTCCGATGGAGGAGAACTTCCTTCTCCTCTTTAGATTCGACAATCCTCTGGAATCCAGTGTGGAATTTATGAAGGTAATTACATATCAATACTAATTTTAAGTAGTAATTCAAAGACTGCGTGCAAGTCCTTAAGATTTATGGGATTAAATTAAATTTGAATAACCGATCTTCATCCAATATGTCTGAATAGACATTGATTTTGATATTAAATATCAGTAGTATCAAAAATCGATTTACAAAGATATTTAGATGGCAAAATATACAAAATATTTAACCTAGATGAAGCAGATATGGACCAATGTCTAGAGACTACTTTTGTAATATTAAAATTAATATTTTATATGAAAAAATTTGGTAAACTATTGTAGACGGGGAAGTTTCACTATTGGGTATTTTCCTTGATCAATTAAATAAATAAAGTTTCAAGTTCTCAGTACAATGAAATAATATTCAAAAATATAATATTAGTTTTGTTGATTTCGTTTACGTATTAGAACTATCATTTTTGACATTGCGGTATACCTTTTTATGGCATAAGCCGGTAAACAAGCAGACGGATCACCTGGTGGTTAGCAATCGGCGCCGCCCATGTACACCCGGAACACCAGACGCATTACAAGTGCGTTACCGGCCCCTTGAGGATTGTTGGAGATACAGAGATGGGGGGGGGGGAATTGAGCCACCGATAACCTCACTCACACGATAAAACACAACCACTCACCTACATATTGAATTTGAATAGTTGGAAAGTACCCCACTATTTATTCATCACACGACGATTTATGTACTTAGTTTTCCTTAAATCACATATTAATAATCACATCTTTATTAGAAAAATATATGTATAGAACAAACTAATAATTAATACAAACGTCCACAACATTTCAGATTTGGCGCGAATACGATACGGATGGCAGCGGATATATTGAAGCCGATGAACTGAAGGTAAGTCGAAGAAGGTTGTTGTCTACCTACATTTAGTAATAACAATTTTAAAAATCCGCATATGATTCTCGTAAACCATTATTTGGCATAAAGATAATTTTTGTATTTTCTTGTATTTGTATTTTCCCTTACCTTAGGTAATACACGTATAAATATCCTGTTTTTTCAAAACTGATAAATCCCTACCAATTTCGAGTCACAGAGGGACTCTTCCTTATGAGCAAAGTCCTCGTGGACAGAGTGCGCGGTCGCGGCGATGTCACGCAGCCTACTGCAGGCTCAACCATTTGCCATACGAAGTCAGGGAAGAGAAAAACAAAAAAAAATTAAGACTAAATTAAAAAAAATATCTGTTGAGCACACTATCATAACTAGGTAGTTAGGTTAGGGTAGTTAGGTTTGTACATATAGGTATATGTATTTAAAAAAATTTTAACCATTATCATAAAATTACAAAAAAACAAAAAAAAAATAAATAAGAAAAACAAGAAGGTAAAATAAATAAAACTAATTAGCTGGAATAGAACCCATAGTAATTTAAAATAAATATAAAAGATCAAACTATTTATATATAGTTTTGTTGGATATGGCGTTATATTGTAAGGCATATCATGTACGTTTATTCTTAAATAAATAAATAATAGTAATAAAGGTAGGCTAAGCGCTGCTCATGAGGAAGAGTCCCTCTGTGACTCGAAACTAGTAGAGCTTTATTCTCTGTAAATTTACGTAAGTAACTCGTAATTTTTAGTTAATTCAGCATGTCTCACATAGATCGAATATCGAATCCGACGCATAAATAAACCGTCCTATTTTTCCCAATCGAGTAGAAACTGGAAACCGGTATTAACTAAAAGTAATAATTATATTTACGTAAGTAAATCGTTATTTCTAGTTCGTTCAGTATATCAAACGACAGTTATTATAAAAAAAAAAAACATAAAATCTGTTAGCACTTCTTTACATGTCTCAAAGACATATTATTATTATATCTTTACCTTCATACTGCAGTTTTCTACAATCAGCCATTTCAGCCATTCATTGTCTATCAGTCACTTAATCACCCATTAACGAAAGATAATAAGTAGGTAACATTTTAAGTGCTTCCCCTCTTATTAGTTCATTGAAACTAGGTGTTGTTCATTCATATTAATATAGATAAAAAAAGATTAAAAAAAAAAACATTTGACATCAGTACTTTTAACTATAACCTCGGTTTTGAAGGACTAAGGTAATAGAGCGTCGGTAACATATTCAATTTAAATGACTTAGGTCCAATTACTCAAAGACCACTTCAAAGAATTGGGCCTCCGGTAACCTCACTCACACGCAAAACATAGCGCAAGGGTTGTTTCACGTCGGTCTTATGTGAGGCCGTGGTATCACTCCGGTCGGCCGGCCAATTCGTGCTGAAGCATGGTTCTCCCACACCTAAAGGTCTTAGTGTATTGTGTATGTGAACTTGTATGTTTGTAAGCACACCCACGACTTAGGAGAAAATACTAGAGTGGGGCAAGGTTTTTTTAATGAAATAAATGTCTGACACTCCCTTTCGCCTCACCCAAAACGGAAGAAGTCATTGGACGATTTTTTACCTCAAAAACTTGTTTTACTTTAGTGATCACTATCAATAAGAGAACTTCTCTTCCAGGCCTTATTAATAAAAATTAATTTTTAATCTTATACTGTCTTTCTACAGAATTTTCTCCGGGACCTCTTGAAGGAAGCGAAGAAAATTAATGATGTTTCAGAGGACAAACTCATTGAATATACAGACACTATG